CGGATTCACCGCACTCGGTGTGCGACGTATAAGGTAATATTATTATGGCAGAGTCGGCACTCAGCGATATTGTTTGGATTTTTTTGACATAATATATATCCTTGCATTAAACACCATTCTCCGGGCATGGATCCACCACACATCACAATAATGTGATCTGACGACACACGCTGTGGTATTTTTTGAACTGACGAATTCGGGTGTTTCCTCTTATTACTATTCGAAAGTACAGCAGCTATCAATCCATAATGTAATCACCTGCCCTTATTTGTTACACTGTGATAAGGATTGTAATATTTTATACTCATGGCTTGTATGCAGATTATTTATATTATTATTATTCGACTAACGGTTATTCCACTATATGTATACTGTATACATATATTTATATATAATAGGCTGAACAATAGGTTATATTATTAGGTACTTAAACATAATTTATTGTAATGGGTCGTCGTGTACGGCAGTGGCATTCACTATTTCGAGTTTGGTGCAGTCTCTGGCGGAAAAAAATACGTCACACGACATTAGTATTCTGCAGTTATCACGCGTGCACCGTGCAAACCTAACTATATGCGATACACGTCATACTTATATAGAGGTGTATTTTGGCGCTGTACTATATTATAATATTATATTAAATCTTATACAATATAAACGCCAATTTGCATAACATATAGGACCTATAGGTATACACACGTTCGTTTCGAAAAGTTCTATTTTCTCGAAATCCGACCCTCCTCCCCAACATCACCGCCCAATACCACTCAACTCCTACATACCTGGTGACCGTGTGGCTGCAATAGTCAGTTCTATATACACACACGTGCAGGCGGTTCCCGTCTGGTTCTGCAGCTCGTTATAATAATGTTGTAATCGGGTACACGTGACTCGTCGACGTTTTGTCGCGCACCGACCGAACAAATATTATAATAACATTATTGTTAATAGCACTATTGTTATTATTCTACACGCCATGTGTGATGGTGTATATAACACAATACTACTTATACTATGTACATTACGTTCGTCGTGCGTACGACAACGATATTATAAAGTCTATGGGACCTAGATGGAAACTCCATTTTCATCCCAAGACGGATGGCTGGTCACGCAAACAATGCGTAGAGAGGTACGTGAGTGTGTGTGGTGTATATGCGTATGTCGAGCTTATCGCGAGAGACCAGTGTGAACCGAACCGTTCACTTGCTGTTGTTGTAGGTATATTATGTTACATATAACATACGATGATGACGACGATAATGATGATGATGATGATGATGATGATGGTGTTTGAAGAACATTCACAATATTATTGCTATTATTATTATTCACCTATGGATCAAAGGTGCAGGACGCAGGCTGTTTATTAATGTTCACACATATCCCTCACTGCAGGCTATTGGTGAACATTTTGGATGTAGGGTGCTGGGGGTATTATGTATAATATCCAATAGTATAATAACCGTCCGTCAACGGAGATGGTGATGGTATCGATGTTTGTCTATTCGATTCACGTATTATAACGTTATTTTTATCGTCAAAGATAGTGTACTATTTAAATATAAATTGGAGAGAGGACTGTTGTATATTATTTAGCAACGCTATAGTAAATGTGATGTTTCACTGTAAGACATTACAGTTTTTACTATCATCGACGGATCGATTCGGAAACTCGGGAGACTCTTTAAAACGCAATACTAATAAGTAATGTATTGGCGGCGGGTTTGGACTCGTTTGCCACAATATGGTCGTCGATGCTGTACCGGCGTAAGAAAATGCAATATAATATACGTGTGAGCATGAGGGACAGGTGGAAGAGTGGTACACGCAAGGCGCAGTCTGTAGGCGACAGTGTAACTGAGGAGTGGAAAAAAAATTGGCAACTGTACGTTTAGCGCTTTTCTATAATTTACCAATGGGCAATGGCGGTCGTATATCTCCACCGCCGTCCTCCGCCGCCGCCGTCGTTTACGCTCTCTATAAATTACACACACACACACACACACACAATATATATATAAATCCCATTTTCACACGTGATTATAGCTATTAGTAAGTATAATGTATAATGTCTGGGCACCAGGTTTTGTCGGCTTAATTTGTTTTACTCGGCCAAATGCGAAATTGCTACGTCGTAGGTCAGGTGTGGACGACCACAAGTGTAAAACAGAGAGAGGTGTACCTATATACTCATGCTGTAGCAGTAATCCGGCATTCCTGCTCACATAATAATATCCGTCTGATAAAGTTAATAATAATATCTAAGCGGCGGCTCATCAATTAAATCATCGGACGGTTTGTGCAATGTTTGTCAAAAAAAAAAACCACATGAACCACATTCGGGGATTTCTATACCACATTACCACGTATAACGTCGGATCACGGGTCGAGAATTTTGGGACCTCACTGCGATTCGTCTGGAAAATGGAAAGTCAACTACATCATAACCAATACTATAGGATTTATAATATTTCAATGTACTACTTAACCGTAACGTAAAATAACTCTATATAAGATGCTAAATTATTATATTGTTATAGATAACTGATTTCGTCGGCGGTAAATACGCTGAGGCGTCCCACAATATAATATTAATAAATCTGACTGTCGTTATCGACGTGACGACGTTTACAAAGTCACACAAAACCATATACCATATATGTATACAACTAGGTACACATAATAATATAATATTCTATGAGATGGTGACAATGCCGGTTTGTCGCACGTATGCCTAAAGCGTTACCTATACCTCACCAGGTTCATACCAACTTTTTGTGATACCCATGTTAGTATGCCTGCAACGACGAGGGCTTCTAGAGTTATTCGGCCTAGGGCTCGGCGGTCCCGTAAGTATAACAAAAGCTCTGCACAACCCGTGGTGAATACATCAACCCTACACAAAAGAGTAGAGTAAAAAAGACAGTTCTAGAACCAGAACCTGCTGGCAGATCCCTATGCTCTCGAGCAGAACCCTGACACACGGCAGCAGAGCCCGCCGCCGACGGCAGAACCCACCGCCGGTCGACTACCCCCACCAGCCGACGGCAGAGCCCACCGCCGGTCGACTACCCCCACCACCCGCCGCCGCCGACGGCACTCTATGGCCGCCGCCGCCGCCCGGGGAAAATAAGTTAAAAAATTTTTTCGTCCGACCGGGTTTCGAACCCGAGCCTGTGGTTTGGTGAGCGACCACTGTGCCACTGCGCCACCCCGCCACATATACTTAATTGGTAATAACTAGCCCTATTTAACTTGTATAAATGTACATATTATTTCTAATATCATTTAATGAAAATTATTTCTTATCACGAACGTGTTATCAAGCACCCGTTAACATTTGATAATGAAAATTATTTCTTATCACGAACGTGTTATCAAGCACCCGTTAACATTTGATAATGAAAATTATTTCTTATCACGAACGTGTTATCAAGCACCCGTTATTATTGTGCTCAGTTTTTATTTAAAATATTTGTACACGTTATATACGAAATAATAATTCAGGTATGTATGTTAATAAAAATATTTGTACACGTTATATACGAAATAATAATTCAGGTATGTATGTTAATAAAAATATTATTTATTATGTTTTTTTTAAAATCAACTCATTCATTTCGTCATAATCACTACCCCACCCCTCATACTTGTCCATAAGTCTATAGAGTTGCTCGTTATTTCCATCATCACTCCAATCCATTTCGACTGATGGCTGCGTCGTGTGTAATCTTATAGGCGCACGAGGAATTAACATATTCGGTGAATCTATAGATGACGATGATTCAAGTTCTGGAAATAAATCTGGCGACGATATTTCATTGTACTGCGGCGGTGTATTTTGCGGCGGTGTATTTTGTGGCGGTGTATTTTGAGGTACCGATGGTTCATGAATTGGGCTCGGAAAATGTCGTTCCCAATTATCCATCAATATTATGGGTGACTCCGGACATGTTAAATAGCCGCTATCTCCAGTTCGGTTCTAAATAATATTGGGATTTGTATTTTATGTTTTGTTTTTTAAAAAATATAAACTTACCAGGGCGCGATTTCTGAGACTGTTGTTATGAGCCTCTATTAATAGTTCAAGGGGCTGTGCATCCGGACTATATACCGGATTTTGATCCATCGGCTGATCCAAACGTCTATCGTTACTATTATCCGGTGATATACTTGGTGATGATTGTGTCCAAAGAATACGCAGTGCAGCATAATTATTAACGTTTTGTTCACGCAGATGATTCAGACGTCCATTAAAATCTTCACCTTCACTTTGTGATGAATTAGACATTTTTTTTTTGAAATAACGTGTTTGTATGTTACAAGCTTATAACAAACTGATGGAAACGCGCTACACCTTTTTTGTCCAAATACCTACTCTTATATATATATTATCCAGTGTGGTCAAACCTTACCCAGAGTCAAATAATGACAGTGTTAAATTCCTTTTTTTTGTCCAGAACCTCTCACACTCGGTATATATTATGTCCTGCGTTGTATTATATGAAAACATATCATGGTTTTCAAACTATCAAGACCTGATCCACCATATGCGTTCGGCGCCGCCGAATATATCAACCTCATATAACATTTTAATGTATAGTCAATAAAGTAATAATGACGGTATCTCTTATTGTATAAATGATTTAATTTTTTTTTCTTAGAAAAGTAGACCCCAACGAATATATCACTGTCAACTAGGGTATTCCTTATTGTTTAGCTTTAAAAATGTATACCGTCTTATAAAAATCTCCCTATATTACCGATTTAGTCGTATTTAGACTTTCGACACCTATGAACCTAAAATTTTTATTCCTGTACTACTCTGTTAAAATTTTTATTCCTGTACTACTCTGTTAAAATTACTATGGACGCCAATTCGAGTAAATATATATTTAATATTTAATATTAGTGCGATTTTTAATATTAGTGCGATTTTTTTTTTTTCTGCAGTCTTAGAAGTAGTGCACGATTATTTCGGAAGCACGTTGGAAAACATGCTTTCCCCGTTATGCGGCACAGAAGCTCATAAAACAAAAAATTGTATGGTTTGCAGAAACAAGGCAAGTATGTTCTGTTGTTTATATCATCTAGAGAATCGGTCATTGTGGTTGGATTTCGTCACCGAAAAGTTTCGGGGAAAACCTAAATGGCTGATACCTCTATTAGCTAGGTATTCAAGCTGTGACTTTGAGTATTTTTTTAGGAAAATTTATCAGTTTGTGTATAGATTAGAATGTGATAGGGCTCATGCTAACTGGAACTTCTATTTGGCGTGCAGTAGTCTGGTTTTCGATAATGTTTCAGGGCCGAGATATTTTGAAAATCTAGCTTCTAAAACTTATAACTCTAAACGTTTACATGACGAGGACCTGGAATTGAAGAGCGTCCAGATAGGAGGTAATTATTGGCACAGTTTAATATTCAGAATTTTCCTCAAGTCATGTGATCGCTCGGATTTAAAAGTTTTAGATTACTTAGATTTACATAATAAACTAGGTCCTGAAATAAAAAAAAATCAGAAAAATATTTTGTTCCAGTTAGATATTGAATTCGATGATACAAAAGTCAGAGCTTTATATCTCGATCGTGCGTATACTTTTGGGGAAACATATAGGGAAGACCGCGTTCGTGAGCGATTATCTGCTGAGGAGGAGACTTGGTAACACTATGCAAGTATTTTAGTTTTTAAAATATTACTTAGTGAGAAATAAAATCTTTTGTTATACGCCCCATACGGTGAGCATGATGGGTGAGCGGTAGTGGGGGAATGTCATCTTATTACGTACATGTTAGGGATGGTCAGTTAGTACATTCCGCACTGTTATCGTGTTATAACGTTCGCTTCACAATAATTTTAAAATGTTTAAATGCGATCAATGTGATTTGGAATTCGTGTACAAGACCAATCTGACTGCTCATCGGAAAACACATTTGAAAATGTTTAAATGTGATCAATGTACTTCGGAATTCATGGCGAAACGGAGTTTGGTCGCTCATCAAAAAACCCATGAAGGTATTCGTTTTCCTTGCACTGAATGTTGCATTACATTCAGTTACAAGACCAGCCTCAAAAAACATTTGAAAAATATTCACGGTAAGAATTTCTGTTTAGCACTTTAAATATTTATATTATATATATTTTTATAATAGGTATCGTACAAGCCCCGATTCAGCAAAGAAATATCCGAGTCAAACCACGTGTGCCCACCCCCGATAATGTTCGTGGTAAGTATTGTTGATTATCACTTTAAATATTTATTTATATTATATTATATTTTTACTAGACACCGTACAGCAGGGAAATATCCGAGTCAAACCACATGTACCCACCCCCGATAATGTTCGTGGTAAGTATTGTTGATTATCACTTTAAATATTTATTTATATTATATTATATTTTTACTAGGTACCGTACAGCAGGGAAATATACTGATCGCACCACATATATCCGTTCCCGATATTCCGGCAGGACCGTCACGAGATACCACTCCAACAGTGCTACCAACTCAAAATGACCGCGCATCAACCGTGCGAGATTGTCCGACAGAACAGCCTACCCAAAATGATAACGTATTATCAGTACAAGATAAACAAAATACCCACGTGCCAACAGTACGAGATAATATAACGGACACATTTTACAACGACATTGATGATGATGAAAATTACGCTCAAGTCGCAGATATTATCGAGGATCTTGGATACTGTGAAAAGGAAGGTTAGTAATTTAATTTTTATAAACGCGGCATAGACTAATTAGGTTTTTTTTTTAAAAGATTCATACATTACGCTTGATAATGGAAAACGCATTTCCAGTGCCAACACTAGATCAGCAGTTAGGGCAAAAAAATTACGTTTGAATCTCGTTAAGTCCCCCGGATTTCAGTCAATATCTACATCAGCAAACAATACTATCACCTGGTATTACGTAAAAAACACCAATAATATTCAAAACTATATTTACTTCCTCGATTCGATCAAATCCGAACTAGTTAATTTACTAAAATCAATTGCAAGTAAAAATCCAATCAAGTTTAATTTAAAGCTTGAAGCGACATATAATATACCAAATGTTGAATATTCGTCGGAAAACCGTGCTTTTAAAACTTCGGCTAAGGCGATTTTCTGTGATACTGGAGTACAGGAAATTGTTGAAGAGGCATTTACTAAATTAATGAAAGAGCAAGACGAGTATGCAAGCAAGGGTAGTGGTTTCACATTACAATGTATTGACGGTTTAATGTTAGGCGTATATAAATATACACCTTTGGGCGGATCATCATACATGCCACTACCAGACCCAATAGAAAATAAAAAAGCTGTGATCAACCCTCAAAACTTAGATATGCAATGCTTCAAGTGGGCAATTCTAGCAAAACATGTTACAGGAGAAAATAAATACCGTGTTGGTGATAATTATACATCGCTCGAGGATAAATATAATTTTTCTGGTTTAACATTCCCAACACCACTACATAAAGTTAAAATTTTTGAAAAAAATAATCCAAACGTGTCTGTCAATGTTTACGGTATCGACAAGAAATTTCAACCACCAAAATTCACAGAATATAAAGTTTTTCCTCTTAAAGTAGTAGATGAAGAAAAACCAGACCATTTTGATCTACTTATAACATCAGACGAGGATAACAGTCATTATAGCTACATATCTAATTTTTCACGGCTCATCAGGTCACAAAAAACCAAACATGATGGACAATCAATATTTTGCAAACGGTGCTTCACATCATTCGATAAACAACAGTACAAATATAAATTAAATGGTGAGGCAGGGCTAGAGCAACATAAACTAATATGTGGAGAACATAAACCTATACTAGCTCAGATGCCTGAACCTGGTACAATGCTCGAGTTTACTGCATGGAATAAAACGCAACGTCATCCTATAGTAATTTATGCAGATTTCGAAGCAATTCTCAAGAAAACTGATGAGAAAATTGGAGAAAAAACAGTAGCTTTTCAACAGCACGAGCCCATGAGCTATGGACTTGTGGTTAAAGCAAATGAAGACATACCAGTAGAACTGCTTGAAAAATTTGAAATTCCAACATCACCTGTAATTTACCGTGGAAATGAAAATAATAAGGACGTAGCTGGACATTTTGTGGATAAAATTGTGGAAATAGCCAAAAAAATTGAAGAGTTACTCAAAACAAACATTCCTATAATTTTCACTGACGAACAACGGAGAACACATGCATTATGTAATAATTGTAATTTATGTAAGGTCAAGTTTTCCCTAGAAAATCATAAAGTGGCAGATCACTGCCATTTATCAGGGAAATTTAGACAGTCACTATGTAATACGTGTAATCTTAAACTCCAAACACCTAGCTTTGTACCGGTATTTTTTCATAATTTAACGAATTATGATTCACATTTTATTGTCACTCGTCTTGGTTATGACGCACATTCAATTTCGGTGATACCAAACAGTGAGGAAAAGTTTATAACGTTTTCAAAATATATTAGCAACACTTTCACAATAAGATTTATAGACACATTAAGATTTATGCCCGCAAGCTTATCAAAACTTTCAAAAAATTTAATTACACCCGGATTTGAAAAGTTTAGAGAGACAGAAAAATATTTTTCATCTCAAGATTTACCACTTGTTACCCGTAAGGGAGTCTACCCTTATGAGTATACAGATAGTTGGGACAAGTTGGAAGAAACAGTTTTGCCTCAGAAAGAAGATTTTTACAGTTCACTGTACGAATCACATATAAAAGATAAACATTATGATCATGCGAAGACGGTTTGGAATCATTTCAACTGTAAAACACTAGGGGAATACTCCGATCTTTATTTAAAAATTGATGTACTACTGTTGGCTGATGTGTTTGAAAATTTCCGAGACCTCTGTTTAAGCACATACCATCTGGACCCATCATTTTACTATACGGCACCTGGATTCTCATTTGACTGTATGTTGAAATACACTTCAATGAAGCTGGAATTGTTGACAGATTATGATATGTTGTTAATGATTGAAAAAGGTAAAGTTATATTATGTGAAAGTTATATTATGTGAAATAATACTTGATTTTATTATAGGAATTCGTGGTGGCTTGACTCAGGCGAGCATGAGATATGCAAAGGCTAATAATGAAAAGACACCAGATTATGATCCAGCACAACCGAAATCATGGCTTGTTTATCAGGATTGTAAGATCAATTTAATATTTAATTTTCTTTAATATAATATATTATTTAACTTGCAGGTAACAACTTGTACGGGTTCGCAATGTCACATTACATGCCATACGGAGGTTTTAAGTGGGTTGAACCCAAACTAGATGGGTTAAATGATTTGAACGACACATCACCAATAGGACGGATATATGAGGTTGATATATCATATCCGAAAGAACTTCATGACAAGCACAATGACTTACCATTCCTACCAAAAAATGATATCCCACCTGGTTCAAAAGTTAAGAAACTTATGGCGACACTCCATTCAAAAAAAAAATATGTAATCCATTATCGCAACCTGCAGCAGGCCATTAAAAACGGACTAGTAGTGGAAAAAGTAACATATTTTATCTCATTTATTTCATTTATAACATATTTTGTTTTATTGTAGGTTCACAGAGTTATTCAGTTTAATCAGACAGACTGGCTTAAGAAATATATAGAATTAAACACTGAGATGAGAAAGAGGGCGAGGAACGCGTTTGAGAAGGACTTTTTTAAACTTTTAAACAATGCTGTTTTTGGGAAGACGATGGAATCCGTTAGGAAGAGAATTCAAATGGAGCTGGTTTGTAGTGAAAAACGTTTGCAAAAGCTTATAAATAAGTGTACGTTTAAACACTGTACTACATACGATGAAACTCTCAATGCCATTTCGTTGGAAAATAAAATCATTGATTTTTGCAAACCTATTTATATAGGTAAATATAATATACTTCTTATAGTAGCTGAATTTTAATATATTTTTTCAACAGGTTTTGCAGTGTTGGAAATTTCTAAGACCGTCATGTATGATTATCACTACAACGTTATGCAAGCCCATTATGGAGATAAAATTGAGCTCATGTATACCGATACAGGTAAATGTTTTCAAACTATACTAATTTTCATATATTAAATTATACTGTTTTCCAGATTCACTGGTATACTATGTCCAGACCGAAGATTTTTATAAAGACCTTAAGAATAATTCCAATTTACTTGATCGAATGGATACATCAGACTTGCCACCAGATCACCCTTGCTACATTGCCGAACGAAAGAAGATACCAGGACTCTTTTCCGATGAAACCAACTCAGAGGTAATGACACATTTTTGTGCTCTCCGTGCAAAGTCTTATTCATATAAGATCAATGGGAAAGAGAAGATCAGGGCAAAAGGAATCCGTGGACATGTAGTGAAAAACCACATGAACTTTAACGATCATTATCGTTGTCTGTTTGGAGATGCAACCTTGGAAACTATGACAGAAAATGTATCTATACGTTCATTCAAACATCAATTGAAGACCATCAAGTCAAACAAAGTGACTTATAATAGTTTCGATGACAAGAGGATTGTACTTGAGGATAAAATACATACCCTGGCTCACGGTCACTACTCCACAGAGTAAGTTAATAATTTCATACTTGTAATATTTTACTTATAATATTTTTTAATTTTATA